TAGAATCACTGTAACACCTTTCTAAATCATCAGAAAGCAGAAAGTATTCGGTCAGACAATTATACCGTGGACTTGTTGTTTACCACGACTGAGACAAGCATCCAGAGAGCTGCGTTGAAGCGTTTAACGTTGAGGTGGTATAATAACCGTACGACTGGATCTTCGAAGAGACGCTTCACTTGTTCAAGAAGGCAAGTGAAGCATCTCCCTCGAAACAACATACCCCTTGATGCGATACCACTTGCTCTGCAAAAGCGGCCCGTATTCGTCAGGAATACCGAACAAAACTTTAGCCGCTGCCACGAGACGAAGTCTTTGGAAAGTTCTTCCATATCTCACGTGTGAGTTCGAGGCAAGAAATCTATGGTGAATACTTCACTGCTCGATCTGTGAGGACATCTTGTAGAATGAGGTAATGAAAAACTGATAAGATGGATCGAACACGACCAGCAACTGAGTCCTATGATTCAACAACTTGTATAAACAGCAACCCCCAACAGAGGACAAAACGGTGTGCCTCAACTACCGAGGCATCAGTCGAGTCGACAGAACGACTAAACTGGTCACAGTGGTGATACTGACAGTTCGTTTTGCAGCAGCAAGAGACGCGATCACCCACGAAGACCGAGGCTGCTGGCCTCGTTAGATATGCGTTATTTATCCTCCGTCGGAAACTCAACAATACCTACCAGTTCCAGTAGCTAATAACTGCTGGCCACATCGCTCTTTTATTGTCCCTATAGACTAGCTATGATATATAATGGCGATGGCAGGCGATGAACTTTGTCTTGGATGGTTAAACGGGTTTCAACTTGGGTCGGTTGACTGGATTGGGGAAGCAGTTAAGTAGACAAGTTTTGCTATCTGGACAGTTATATCTCACCTGGTGGACGCATCACAGATGAAGTGTCAGCGCGCATACAGAAGGCTCGGTTGGCATTTGCCAATTTGAAACATTTGTGGCGCCGTCGCCGACATCCGGCTGTCTGTGAACGGTCTAGTGTATGCTGTTCTGCTATACGACGCATGAGCATAGATTGTCAATGTTCGAACACCGCTGTATACGACGCATTGCAGGAGTCTGGTCGGGAAACCGGACGAGCAATGCTGAGGTTAGGCGTAAAGGTTTAGGCAGTCGCGGTCGTCCACTGGAGCAATTTCTCCACCTTCATAGATTACGCTGGTTAGAGCATATGCTACGCATGTCACGAGATAGGCTGCCAAGGCCGGTGTCGGTTGGAAAAAGATCAAGGGTGGTCAAACTAAGACCTGGCATGAGGGTATGAAAACCCTGACTAAGCGTCTGGGTCACAAAGGTCCCAACAGGCTAGGATGGAGACCCCTAGATCATGGTCACCGATGGTTAGAGACATTGAGGGATATGACTGGGTGTCGCAAACAGTGGTGCTCATAAATCCCCTCATTATTCCTGTAACTTCAGTCTATGTAAATGCGCTATCTTCCTCTTGAATCTGCTGCCAACATTCTAATATTCATTCTACTCTTTTTTCATAATGGGCAACCAAAAGATGGAACCAAAACCGACGCACGAAAATGCATGGTTAATGATTGTAAGAACTGAACTGAACAATTACTCGTGACGGTTCATCGAGTGTAGTTTACAGGCTGCAATCAGATTAAACCTCATTCACTGCATCCTCCTTCCTGTTGGAATGCGAGACGGGTGTTGAATTTGTCTGAGTGTCTTGTGTGGCAGTTGATTGTTGAGTTCGCTAATCTCTCTCTTCGTATCNGTATCAGACAACACTATACCGGCGGTAGTGATGATCTAAGATTATGTACGACATCTTGTTCTTGTCTTTTTGCATTTTGGATTGCCAATTTTTTAAAATTACACCACTGTGTGATGATTTGGCAGACGGGGCAGACCCCATAGTCACGACCTGATGTTCAGTAATGATAACCGACAAACTAAGCTCCCGGACTTGGAGTGACAAACCATATAAGGTCCCGTTAGGTCAGGCATGGTTTTCAACCGGGCGACAGCAGAACTGTCTACTACCAAAGTTGGGTGGTGGTGGCGGGGTTCGAGCCACAGGGTCCAAAGCACGCCGATGACATTGACTAAACCACTGCGCATTACGATAAGTACAATCTATCAGTTGCATTAAACAAACGGAATAAATTTCGCTTTTTTGGTGTTGAAAATTACTGGTTGCTTTTAACACACCTTCGCCTGTTACTCTGTCCTCCTCCGTCCCCCTATTTAGCTGGTCGATCGTCTCACGTCCGCACGTCAAACGGATGTGGAACGCGAACTGGAGCAGTTCATACAAAGAGCTTCCATTGAACAGTTTGAACAAACTTTGACCAAAGTCCTGCGCGGTAAGTAAGATGGACGGACTAGCCGCCCCATCCCCCGATACACACATTTCTCTTCGTGGTTGAGTCATGAGGATACCAGTTGAAACAATGCATTTGCAATCAGTGCTGTGCTCTCACACACTTATGAATTCTGATTTTCAATCTGGAGCATCTGTGCCGGTGTTGGGCCATCTCTCTCCCCTTGGATGGCCGAATGTGCGTGTTTGACGGTTTTCACATACCGCCCCCTGCTCCCGGTCTTCAGGGTGAGGGTTTGGTTAAATGAAGCCTCCGGTTATCAATTCCCCCACCTGATTTGGCCTGGGCAACCTAACAGTATCGCGCCCCCAAGTAAATCACGGACCTTTTTCTTTTAATAAAAATTATTGTACCGTGATTGGTTTGGTACGCAGTCTGAACTTGGATGTGTGTGTAAAAATAAAATAAATAATTTTGCTACCGTCTGGGAATTCTTAACGTATGATATCGAGATGTGGTTTTTACTCGCAGAATGGTGTCAAGCAGCTTTGTTACCATAGGCTGGGACAATCGG